GTTACATTGCTGCAGTTTAATTGAATCATTAAAAGGACACTCTACATTTGTTTCTGAAGCTCATTAATCTATCCTTGGATGAAGATCCAATGCCTCATCACCTGCAACTGGAGGATTATACATACTGGAACAGACGTGAGTTGAAGAACTATCTTCAGCCTGAATGGAAGGACCCTTTATCAGGTACTCTTAACTAGACCATGCACACTGAAAGCTAAAAGAGATTAACTTTTGGATTAATTTCCAGTCAGAAAGAGCCTCTGTACTGGACTGGCCTATAGAGGACTGCTCACCTTAAAACAATGCTCAAATGGAGAAAAAGCTACCAGGCCAGGATGAGCAGAAGACGACATCTGAGGTAGACAGCTGACCCAAGACACCAGACCAGGCCTGTATACTAGTTACTTTGATGACTGCTCATATCTTTGATTATGAACAATGCCTGCATAACATTTTCCTTAAAGATAAGGATTGGTACAGAACAGACTAAGTCAGATGACCTGGGGATACCCTGAGCCGCACCTAATGAAAGTTCTTGGCTTAAATTCTTACTTATGACCTTACTAATACTGCTAACTATATTATTTGTATTTTGCCTGTTTTACAAAATTGTTGCTTTTTGCATTACCAAATACGTGACTGAGCCTCTGATAAAATAATGACTAGGCAACTTGAAACAGCAGACCAGATATATACTTCTGTATGAGACCAACGATTGTAATAGTGCGACTCTAGATATGGGAAGAAGTAACAAGAGGGAATACTCTCCTGGATCATAACAGGCTAGTAAGACAGGTGGTTCAGAGACATTTTTGCTACTGTTAATAAAGGCTAGTCCCATAATAGCACACTGACTGGCCTGTCAATAAAATCCTTGCCTGACCTAGGAATAAGCATTCCTAGCACAGTGGGATGAAATGGTGATGCCAAGCCATGGTCAAACTTATGATCATGAGGGCACTCGCCATCTGCCTCTACAAGGATTGGATCACGTTGGCACTTGCCGTCTACCTCTGCTTGGATTAAATCACGCTGCAGCCACTGACCTCCAACACACCCTGAAAGGAGTTCAGGGTGGAAATCAGGAATGAGGCGCTCTGTGCTCTGGGAAAACTGGCTGAACAGGCCTTCAGATAGATATTTTCAGGAAAAGATTTTATGAGCCCAAATTCTTGCATCACCTCATATCTAAAAAAGCACTAAAATCACTAATGGTAACATCAGCTTTGGCCATTAAGGATAGAAATGCATTTGAAAATGGAATAACTGTAGTTCAGACACCCAAGGTAAAACTAGGTAACCAGTGTAGATGTGACTTCAGACAAATTTCTGTATTGCTGAGAACCTGAGTTTTCTGAGTGGTGTCAAAATTAGAATGTCACCAGCCATTCTCAAAGCAGTGCCTGCTGGCAACTTGTAGCTACAACCTTATGGGTTTAAGTTCTCCTCTTATAGTTATTGAGTTTCTGCATTCATACTGCCTGCTGTACTTTTATACCAGATAAAGCCAGGAACATCATAACTGCCCTGGAGAACGTAAAACAACCAATATATAATGTAGGGGATTCAGATGCATATGTGTGAAAAGTTATAGCCCAAGTTAACACCTGGTTTTCTGGTCTCTTTTCATGGATACCCCAAGGTCTCAAATCCATTCTTTAGGGAATCCTACAGTTTCTATTATCACTTCTGTTAACAGAAGTTGGTATGTATCTAATATTTAAACTGTTTTCCATTGTGCAATGTGCAGGAAAAGAGCAGCTGAGGCTCTTTCTGAGCCCCAGCCACATGGCAAGATCGGGTTCACTCATTCCATTTCAAGGGCCCCCAAATGATGCCTCCGTTCAGCAGGAACACGATGCCCATCTCCCTATTTCCATAGAAATGGAATGAGAAAAACTGACAGTGTGGATTTTGAAGGAGGATTAATAAAATGGCTGCACTTAGGCTAACAGATTGCTTATTCTTATGCTTGCCCCTAAAACAGTCAACTGACTTGATTGACCAGTTGCTACTCACAGTTCCAGGCCCACTGTTAAAACCAAAGCTATTGATCTTACTGTTTCTACTTTATTCCAGTAATCAAAGCTATAATCATGCTTGGTCTCTGAGTCCATCTCCAGGGAGAAGGTCACAGGTCTTTAACCTTACAAAATAGCCTGAATTACCAAGAACCCATACTTTGGGTCTTATAAGATAAAGAGATGGAAGGAGTGACAACCACTAGCCTCTATAGAACTAGTCACCTGGAGGCATCATGATGCCATTCTAAGTCTTTTGATGAACTGAATAGGACAAGAATCTAGTGTAATTATGGTACAGTGGGAAAAAATTAACATTAATAAACATGTATTGGAAACTGGAACCAAAACCCCAAGTTCAACAAAGCACCAAGGAGTTTTATCAGAATCAAATAGTTGTAAAGAAAAGAAAAAGAGAGAGAGATTATACTACTGACTAAAGACGCCCAGGAGTGCTCCCTGACCAAGGCTGATCAATTCCAATCCATAATGACCCCCTCATTGCCCCTTTTCAGCAGGAAGTAGCCAGAGCGGTCATCGCCCCTTTTCCCACAAGACTGTGGATTGGACATTGACAGTGGAGAATTGTAATAGAGAATAACCTTTGTTTTGTTGGATGTTTATAGGGACACCATGACTTGGCCCACGTGGACAGCTGCCAGAACAAAGAATGCCTGCAGCAAGAAGATTGCAACAATCAACCACACCCCCTCCCTTGTTTTTTTATATGAAAGGAACCTGTATTCTGACCTGAGCAGGATGGTTCTCCAAGACATTGGTCAGCTATCCTCTTGGTATGCCAGCTTTCTGAATAAAGTCGCTATTCCTTGCCCCAGCAGCTCGTCTCCCAATTTATTGGCCTGTCTTGCAGGGAGCAGAACAAGTTTGGACTCAGTAACACTTGGATGTAGCGCTTCCAGGCTTCAACCTTGGGAAGTTGAAGATGAGGCTGCAACCCAGGTGACTCGACTCAGGTCAGCAAAGGGAGGATTCCCAGACCGTGACAGTCCTCAATGTGAGGCTTCTGAAGAGACCTCCCACCACTGTTAAACAGAGGGGTTCCCTCCAACGCCGGCCTTTTCTATCTGCCATATGAGGCCCCAGGTATGGTTGACAGACAACCCCCCCAACTGTCTGGGTCTCAAGGTAATGGTGCCCTTGACCTGCTGGACAAATCCTCAGGCCAGCAGAAGGAAGGTGTCCCAGGCTCTGTCTGGAGTAAATACAAAAACATTGAGGAGGACTGAGATACCCCCACCTTAGAACCAGAGGGGTCTGCACAGAAATTCACCCCCCACCAAGGCTGTCAGCCCGAGAGACCCAGGGAAGGGCTGGAAGGATAATTGCCCTCTCCCCACTCCTGGATCAGGGATCTCAGGGAGATGAGAAGCTGGGTGTGAAGGGGCAAAAAGCAGAGAGTAGGCGAAGGCCCTGCCTCTGCTAGGCCTAAAAGCAAGGACTCCAAGGTACCACGGAAGGGAGTTCCCCTGGCCGCTAGCTAGCACCCTGCCGCCCTTGCTGTCAACCAGGAGGTGTTACAGGCAGGGTTCCGGATGTGACGTCTCTCTACTTCCGCTTTAGGAGTCTGAAGGAGGGGAGGCGTCGTCGTTGGGGTGTGGCCGGGGCTGGCAGAAGGAGGAGTCCCAGGTGCCGCTAGACTTCAAGGTGAGGCCCCTGAGGGACAACTAAGGCGATTTTTTTTGGCAGACAGGGAGGGCCCCGCGGAAATCTGGCTCTAGTTGTCGGGCCTGGGCAAAGTTGTGGGGCAGAGGCACCTCCCTCGAGCCTCCACACGTCCTTGGCGGGGGTCTCAGGGAGGTTGGTTCCACGGCCTGAGGGACGGAGGATGCAGGTGGCCTAAACCCTGTCAGGAGGACCCGTGACTACACTGAGGAGGGCTGAGGGGGTGCCTCACTCTGAGGGAGGGTGCCCATGGAAAGCTGCCCGCTGCTGCTCCCCAGCCTGGCGTCTCTTTCGTTTTGTCTCACGGAGGTCTGAGGGGACGTCAAGCGGGGGCAGGGGAAGGGTGGGCTGAGAAACTGCCCAGTGTAAAGGCGGGTACCCTGTAGGAGTTCTGAGGGTCCCCCACCCCAGAAGAGATGGGCCCAGTCCCTGTGCCATAGCGGAGAGGCAGTTAGCAGAGGTGGCCATTGTGGCAGGTCTCACTCCACCATGGTGGGGGTGGGGGGATGGTTCCCCTCACGGAGGCAAGGCTTCAATCTGGGGATGCAAAGTCTGGTCAGCTGAGGTGGGGTTTGGAGCGGGCCCTGTCAGGAGTAGAGATCAGTCACATAGTGGGCCCTCCTCCCCTAGATAAACAGGCCCCCACTGAAGCCCGCACAACCCCTGCCAGCAGCCCCGGGAGGCCCCGGGCCAGTGTCAGATGCGATGCCCCCTCACTTCCTCCTCAGGGGAGAGTCAGGGGATGTCAGCGGAGTGATGGGGCCCAGATCCTGACAGGAAAGGTCAGGACTCTGAAGGGGCACTGAGGGAACCATCCACAGCGGCACAGTTGGGACATCACACACCGCTCCTGTCAACATGGGGGACCCACGACTGTGCCTGTAGTTTGCATCCTGAGGGGTTCGATTCTTATAGGAGCTATAGGAGCCGGGAGGTGAGAGCTTTGGTCTGAGGCACGTGTTCTCAGGCTAGCGTGTCAGAGAAGGCCCAGGCTATACCGGAAGTCAGAGAGAGATGCACACCCCGAATGTCTACCAAGGGCCCCACCCACCCCAGAACAGAGAGAATCCACATTGTTGGACCCTTCCCAGCCTCCTCTCAGCCCTCGGGCTACACCCTGAGGAACTACGTCACTTCCTCTTTCAGTTCTTAGGCCAACCAGGGGGATAGGAGCCCTGTGACGCCCGGAAACACCCCAAAAGAGGGAACCTGCAAGTGGCCTTAGTCACAGCCATCCTGGTGGAGTTTCTCAGCTGAAGCTGCTGACACTCTCCCTCTCTTCCCCAGGTCCCCACCCTCCTGCTGGCTGTCGCCAACACAGGTCATCATGTCTCTCAATCAGAAGAGTGAGCACTGCAAGCTTGAGGAAGATGTTCAGGCCCCGAAAGAGGCACAGAGCCTGGAAGGTGTGCAGGCTCCCGTGGCTGAGGAGGAAGAAGCCACTGCTGCCGCTGCCGCCGCCGCCACCTCTGCCCCCTCCTCCTCCTCTCTCACTCCCGTGATCCCAGGCCCCCCAGAGGAGGTGCCTGCCGCTGAAGCTCTGCAGCCTCTCCAGGGCCCTCAGAGAGCCTGCCTCTCACCCACTGCCACCACAGCCACTCCATCGAGTCAGTCCGATGAGAATCCCAGAAGCCAAGAAGAGGAGGGGCCCAGCACCTCCCAGGCTCCACTAGATCCTGAAGTGCTAAACATGAGGGTGGCCAAGTTGATGGAGTACCTGAGTGTCAAATACACAACAAAGGAGCCAGTCACCAAGGCAGAAATGTTGATGAATGTCATCAGAGAGGACAAGGACCACTTCCCTGTGATCTTCAAGAAAGTCTGTGAGTGCATGGAGGTCGTCCTTGGCATTGAAGTAAAGGAAGTGGACCCCGCCAGCCACACCTATGCCATTGTCAGAGCACTAGACCTCACCTACGACGGGATGCTGAGCGATGACCAGGGCTTTCCCAAGACCGGCTTCCTGATACTCCTCCTGGGGATGATCTTCATGGAGGGCAACTGTGTCCCTGAGGAGAAACTCTGGGATATGCTGAGCATGATGAGGGTGTATCCCGGGCAGGAGGATTTGGTCTACGGGGAGCCCAGGAAGCTCGCCACCCAAGAGCTAGTGAAGGAGCAGTATCTGGAGTACCGGCAGGTGCCCAACAGTGATCCCCCCAGCTACGAATTCCTGTGGGGTCCAAGGGCCTATGCGGAAACCAGCAAGATGAAAATTCTGAAGTTTTTTGCCAGGGTCAGTGGGACCGACCTCACTTCCTTGCCATCCTGGTTTGAGGAAGCTTTGAGAGATGAGGAGGAGAGAGCCCAGGCCAGCGCTGCCTCCGGGGATGACACTCCTGCCGTGGCCTCTGCAAGTTCCAGTACCACGTCCAGCAGCCCCCCCAGCCCTGAGTGAAGTTGGAAGCAGATTCTTCGCCCTTCATTTGAAGACAACAGCTGAAGTTCAGAGTAGTGGAGGGCCAGGGTGGGGCTGGAGGGAGCGCTGCAGAGCATCTTTGTGTTCCTCTTGTTTATGGGTATTTAGACATTTATCTTTCGTTGTTGTTTTATCAAATATTGTTCCGTATAATAGAAAGTTTAATTAGCACCAGAATCGAAGCTTATGAATGACAGGGTTCACACATTTATAGCTGCTTATCACATTTAAAAATAAGAGTTTCATACAACGTTGTAAAATGATTATAAATCAATAAAAAAATGTTTAAAAAAAGTTTCATTATTTTGCAAAACAAATTGAGAACCTCTCCATCTTTCTCTGTGATCTGGAACAAGATAACACAGCATTAGAATAGGAATTTTCCTGGAAGTGTGAGAGAGCCCAGCCCTAAAACTGAGAGGCTCAAGGAATAGAGGGGAAATGTAAAGATCGCTAACTCATGGACGCAACTTTCTCTCTCAGTCTGCTGTTATGTAAGATTAAACGATATATACGTTAAATAACATAGACCTAGATACGCTTGGCTTCTTCAAGAACATAAGAGAAATAAAGTCTTAGAAGAAGTCTCTCTCACTGGCTCACTGATTCGCCAAACGTGAATTGAGTACCTGCTCTTTGGAAAGCACCGTGTTAATGGTGGGGACCCTAGCGTAAGAAGGACACGCCCCGCCCAGAGCGGGGCGGTGTCTGGGAGCAGCAATCCGGCCAGGAAGATGGTGCCATGTCCCTGTAGGAGCGGACAAGGTAAAAGAACGGGTGAGGCGGTGGGGCTCCAGGTGGGAGAAGTCGAGTGTAAATGTCCTGAGCCAGGGCTTCTTCAGGCTCTGGGAGACTCTAGTTCCTTCGGTGGGAGTTCATTTTAAGTTATGCTGGGTGGCAGCAGGCCTGACTCTCAAAAGGTGTGTCACAGTTGAGAGAAAAGTCTGGAATGGAAAACTGCTCTTAGCAGTGCCTTTTGAATTCTGGATAAACCAGAGAGAGCTCCCTGCCTGAGGCAGGTGTGGAAAGTGTCCTGAACTCTTGTAAAAACCCAGTGCAGGTGAACACTGTGTGGGAACTGGACCTTCTATACGCATCACCTGCAAGGGTTTCCTGAGAATCAGGGTGGTACTCCCCGGACGTGATGCTGAGGAGTTGCGAGGCTGGCACTCTGAGAAAGCCAGAGCCTTCTACATGAAAATGCCATTATGATTAGGTTATCTTGAGTGCACTTTGGCCAAATCTAAACAAAGACTAGATTTTTGGTGGAAGTAAAATGAATGAAAATAGCATCTGGGGATGGGAGAGCAGCCAGGAAGGAAAGAAGGAGCTAGTCTTTGGCTTGAATTCTAGGAGCTTTGAGCTGAATCCATCTGGGGAAGACTAAAACCCACACCTAAGTGTAATGCTGTGTTTCTCTAAGTGACATTTGACGGAGTTTTATTTATGAAGCAGTATATTTGGCTGATTTGGTGTCCAGTGTCTCAGAGCACCGCATCTTCTCTGAGAGGTCCCGGATAACAACAGATTCCCAGAGCAGAAGGTAGAAGGTTCTGGGCTCAAAATAATGTTAGAAACAACTGCCATTTGTCAGGAGCGCGGCCGAGCCCGAGCGACAGCTAAGGTGTCGGAGCAGCTGATTTACAGCAACGAGCCAAACCCAGGGGAGTGAAGCCTTTGATCGCTTACTAGGACGGCAGAAGCAAGCGTGTGAGAGGAGGCCCGGCTCCTCCTGCTTCACTATCCTCCCTGGAACCGCGCGCCAGTCCAGGGCCAGGAGGGTCAGCACGGATGTGGGGGTCACCTCACTGTCCAGGGCGCCAGAACCAAAGACTCTGGCAGTTTTATGGATCCTGGAATGAGAGGAAGGCAAGGGGGAAGGGCTTGGGGTGGGAAAACAGGTGGGAACCGTGTCTTCCGGGGGCCCCCCTCGCCCCCCATCGGGAGGCCTCAGCGGAGCCCCAGAAGCAGACCTCTGCCCCGGGCCTCAGGAGAAGCCTCTTGAGGATGAAGCCCAGCGGCCGGAGCGCAGGGGCTGGGAAGGCACATGTGCGAAGGGCCCGGCAGCGGGGCCGGCGGTGTGACAGCACCCCCTCTTCAGAGAGCCAGTTGTGCGGGGCTGGTGCGCGGTTGGCAGAAAATAAAACCAAATAAAAACATACTCTTTACCGTAAGTTAAAAATAAGGCCACAGATGGGGTGTTAGCAGGGTGTATTGCGTGGTGTGTTCCCAATAGTTTGTGGCAGGTGTTTGCACCATTCCTCCCTTGATACCCGTCACCAACGTGGCTGGGAGCCCCCTTACACAAGGAAATTGTTTAGATGTATGGGTTTAACCTGTGGCCATGGAAGACCCTCTTGCCACGTGTAAAGTAGCATGACCCATGCGTTTTTGGCCGCATAACCCCAATAATGTAATACTCTGAGGTAAAACACCAGCAGTGAAATCTGCCATCATTTCTGAGTATCAAATATTTTATCACGTTTTCATTTTGGGAGTCAGTTTTTGATCTAAAAGATTGCAGTTGGTTTAATTCAATTTGAAGAGAAATTATTCCATATTTATTCTATGTAAGCATTATACCAGAGAATAAGAATTCAACAGGGGAAAAGAACATGGTCACTGACTTTAACAGAGTACACATCACAGTGATTAATGGTACTTTGGAATCAGATACTTATTTTTAACACCCTATTAAGATACAACTGATACAAAATAAAATGCACATAATTAAAGCATACAATTTGATGTAAGTTTTGAAACATGTATATACCCCTGAAACCACCACCACTATAAAGATAACGTACATAATTTTTATCCTCAAAAGTTTCCTTTGTAATCTCTTCATTCCCAGCCCAGCCGAACTCCACATAAACACTGATCTCCTTTATGACCCTATAGCTTAATTTGCATGAACTTTATATTAATGGAATCACACAGTGTGTCCTCTGTGTCTCACTTCATTCACTCTAAGTATTCTGAAATTGATCAGTGTTCTTGCATGCATCAATGGTTCCTCATTTTTGAGGCTGTTTATTCACCTGTTGATGGCAATTTGGGTTTTTTGCAGGGGCTAATACACATAAAGATGCTATGAATATTTGTGTGTGTATATGTGTGTGTGTATACACGTATAATTTCTCTTGAGTAAATCCCTGGGAATGGAATGGCTGTGTGAAATCATAAATGCGTGTTTAACTTTTAACAAACTGATGAATGGTTTTCCAAAGTGACTGCACTGTTTTGCATTCCCTTCAGCAATGTGTAAGAGTTCCCATTGCTCTATAGCCTACAAACACTTGGTATGTCTGTCTTTTTCACTGTAGCCATTTTGATAGGTGTGTCATGTAGCAGGATCTCACTGTGGTTTGGTTTGCATTTCCATAACGACTAATGATGTTGAGCATCTTTTCATGTGCTTACGTTTGGAAATATTTTATCTCAAAAATTTTCCTCCAGTGGAAGGTTTCTCTTTTCATTCTCTAGCAGTATCTTTCAAAGAGCATAAATTAATTCGCATGAAGCCTAATTATTAAGCTTAACTTTTATGAATTTCTTTTATGGTATGCCTTTGGTTTAGAAATAATCTTTCCCTTAATCAAGTTCACACAAAATTTCTCCTCAGAGTTTAAAATTTTTAGGTTTTACATTTATGTCTTGACCCATTTTGAGTTAATTCTCATATGGGGCTGTGGTTCAACTTGACAAAGTTGTTTTGGTTATTCTAGGTTCTTTCAATTTCCATATGAACTTTAGAACTTTAGAATAAGCATGTCAATTTCTGGCCAAAAAACACACAACAAACCTCCTAAAACAAGACTGTCATTTCTGAGTTGGTTTTAATTATTTTTTCTCTTCATTATGAGTTGTAGTTTTTGACGAGATGCCAGACAATGTGATTTTTTACCATGAATATTACTGTACATCCATAAATTGTAATTTCTTACTAGATTCCCAAATAATGTTTTTACATTAGTTTAAATACGTTTTTTCCCCAAAATTACTACTTTATAAGGAGAATTCAATACATGTGTGAGGAAATGTTCTTAAATATTGTTTTATTTTTTCCAAGTTGTCCTTGAACAATTCAGATGAGTCTCATGAACCATCCTATGCAGTAAGTGATTTATCTAAAATTGTACAGGTAGAAAATGGGAGAGCCCAGCATAAATCCAGTCAGTCTGACACTGGTAGCTACACTCGTAATATTTATACTTTACGGTCTTTCTAGAGGGAAAAGAATCAAAGCTGTGCCTTAAAAAAGATAGTATGACTTGACAGGAACCTGTGAGAAACCAGAGGAGTAAAGCTTGAGCAAAGGCACAGAAGCCAGGGTGCTCCAGCTGATTGGGGAGCAAAACTATTATACCAGGTGACTTAGAAAGTAAGCTGCTTGGGAAGATGGAACAGATGGTAAAGCTGGGAAGGCAGGCTTGGGCAAAATAGCAAAGAATGTTGATTGAAAGATGGGAGAACACAACATTGTAAACCAACAAGACTTCGATTAAAAAAAAATAAATACATTTCAAAAAGAAAGATTGAGGACTCTTCCTGAAGGTTTTTGAGCAGTGGAATGTTATCACCTACCTGTTTTTAAAGAAAGCATCCCTGGTATGGTAAGAAAGATAGATTATTGAGGAGGGAGTAGGTGACTAAAGACAGAGAGATCCTTTAGGAGGCTTACCAGCAATCCAAGTCTCAGGTACAAATATTCTGAAATAGGGCAGTGACAGTGAAAATGGCAATGAGGCAATAGATGTAAGAAATTGTACAGAAAAAGAACAGATACAATATGGAATAAGACAGAGGGAGATAATGATATGGAAGGAAATAAATTAAAAGGTTAATTTTAGTGAAATAAATTGGTATATTCAAACTAACATAATGATATGAGTCAAAAGGGTCTTTTCCTTTTTTTCTCTTAATCTATTATTCTAATCACCTTCTGTAAATTTCATTTAGATTCCATAGGAATCAAAAGGGTTTCCATGGTTCCGAATTAGTTTTCTGAGGAAAAGATTAACACAATATTCAAAGAGAATAGTCTTAGAGATCTCAGAATATCATCCCCCCAACTCACTCCCCACAAAAAGTAGAAAGTAATAAAATGAATGTCAACCACAGACCGGAAATGCAGTTGTTTCTAACTTTTTTAAAGGAACAACAAAAATATGCAGAAATGTGGTGACAATCAATAGATATAATGTAGTACTAGCACTTGGTACTTGAATATGCTAAAAATTTACCAATATGTGTTTTTTCATTTAAAAATATTTCGATTGTCTGTAATAGCTTTGAAATCACTTAAAAATTATTTCAATAAAGTCTGAAATTTTAATGCAGTTAGTTGAAAGCCATAAAAGCCAAATATAATTAACTATTACAGTTCAAGGAATTTCAAAGTCAAATAATTTTATTATAGATTCAACTCAAATAAAATACTTGGAATATATAATTCATATCAAACTATAAAAATTCAATATAATTTCTAGGGATCTAAAATGGCTAAGGTATCTTTTAAGTTCAAGGTGATTAAAATTAATGGGCAGAAACATTC